GAACATACTGTCAAATCATTTAATCCACGGCGCTAATCGCCTTCATCTCCATGGACACCCAGAGGGAGGGGCGGCTGGGAGGATTACCAGTCACACACTGCACTTTGTTTGCTCTGTATCTTTGATTAAGACAATTAATAACAAGGTCTTATGGTACCGTGTACAGTAACTATGGATGTTGCATTGTCTAAATACAGTACATGGCACCTGACAGCAGTTTTAACAGTAGCTGTGATACACTGTTTAAACATTTTTAAAGCACAAGCCTTAGCTTTGAATTGATGTTTACAGTCAAACTCAAGTGGATGCTGTTTGGCATGGCTTGCGGGTGTCAGTGAGGTGTGTGTGAGGTGTGTCTGCATATTTTAAAAACAACTACAGGAAAAAATGCATATTTTATGAGCACAAAGAAAAGGATTTGTTATCTGGCAGACATCAGGAAAGCATGAGAAAATCAATTAGTCAGGGCTGATCATGTTTGGTATTTTCGATGTGTTTTGAGTGCAGACAAAGCCGTGCTAATGCTAAGACAAGGTTACGTGGAGTTGTTTTGACTCCTTGCAGTCAGCATCGCACAAGATCACACAAAACTGAACATGCTGGCTGAATTATTCGTGTTTAAAAGAAAAATATACAAACTTGAAGACACTAACTTGAATCTTAGGTTGACATAATGTCCCTTAATCATGTGCGAAGTTAAATATTGCATTTCGGAATTCTGTAATTTCTTTCTGGGTAAAAAAGTGAATAAAAAGGGTCGAGTTGTTTATCTTTTCATATCTGCAGCAAGAAGCACACCTACGAACATCCTACTAGACAAAGCAATGCAAGTCTGAAGGGCATTCTAGAAATCTGTTTGAACCCAAACATGCTGGTTTATTTAATGTTCTTTTAAAAAACGTAGCAGGAAAAAAACCACCAAACCAACTTTAAGGCCAAATAAAGAAACTGCAGTTAGAAAGTAACTTTGTTCAGATAAAGTTATTATCCAGAAAACCTCTCTGTTCAAAACGTCTCCTTTCTCTGCTATTCTTACACCGAGAAGCCAAACTAAGACAGAGAGCGGCAGGATTCCTCTGGGCGAGAAACTCCTTTCTACTGAAACTAATGAAAAATTCATCTCGCCAGGTTGGGCTTTATCTTGAGCTCTCTGCAAAGCTTCGTTAACTCTGCTGTAAAACCTCAACATCGCTTTAGAGCTGAGACGCTACGGCAGCTGGCCTCTGCTATGCATACATGAATGTTTTCAAACATGTACATGCAACACTTTGTATGCATTTTGCTGAGAGAGATCCCATGGAGAGGGGTGAAAGCATCCTGACTAATACATGCAATGTGCTTTTAAAAAGATGAGTGGCAGCAGAGAGGGTGGGAGGAGAGAGGTAATGTGGGTGGAAAACTAGCAGCAAGTGAGCTTTACGTTCATGGAGAGGGATTAGACGCCGCTCACAAGAAACGGAGGTTGGATTGAATCCAGCCCTCTCTCCTCGCTGCTTTTCTCTCCTTCACCTCTTGTCTTTCTCTCCTCTCTAATTCCCCCTGCCACTTCTTTCTCCTCCCTCGCTCCTATATCCCTCCATCCTTCACTGCTTCTTTTATTCCTCCATGCTTCCAGCAGTGACAAGTTCATTCATGCATTTTTCAGAGATAGGCGTTTTGTCGTACAAACATTTCTCACGAGGCACAACAAACTGCCGTCACCTGTGGATTTATTTTATGTCGGTTTCTCTTTATTCATTCATTCTCGGTCCTCACACACATACACTCGTGTTTTCTCTTTCCTCTCTCACTCTGAGTTGCAGCAGTGTCTCATATCAATACGGTGTAAACTCATTTGCCTTGATGAACAAGTTTCCTAGAAAACGTACGGCTGATAACGCGTTGGCTAGCCCTTATTTGATTTGAGAGAAAGGTTAGGTCTTGATGAAATATTGAAGATTGAAAAGCTGACTTGAAGCTAGAAAACCTTCAAACCCCAGAGTCCACGCTTTGTATTCCCATCCATGCTCCTCGTGACTTCTCACTGAGGTACATGAACACCCCAACAGCTCCTGCCTTGAAACAAAACGTTTACAGTGAGAAAACATTGAATTATTACGATCCAGATGGCAATTACTTTACATTCAAGTGTAATCTTATCAAACTAGATTTAAATCAGAGCAGAAAGGAAGCCCATCTGTTGAAAGTGAGTCTGCAACAAATGCAAAACCCACTATTTCAATAATTAAGTCATTTTTCAAGCAGAAAGGATTTAACAAGTACAGTTCCAGTTTCTTCAATATGATGATTTCTGCTCTTCTTTGTGTTCTATGATAGAAAAGTTATTCATTTTTGGCCATTTTATTTGAGATTGTATTGCTAAAGGAAGCAGGGTTCAGACTCATGATTCTTTTAAAAGTGCACCAAAAGAATTTAAAATGTTCCTAATGTTTCTAAATGCTAGGATATACTCCCAAAAATAAGGGTTGAACTGTGATTTGCTTTTGTTCCGTCTGTGCTTGAATCCACATATTTCGAAGTTGACATCTTTCCCTACAGAACCCTCTGCCTTTCTGTGAGGTCAGCAACATTTGTTTCCGCAGTGTATCTCAAATGTTGACATATTTCTGCAATGTTTAGGCCTGAAGGCTTACTGTACAGTTGTAGAGACCGTGTTTACTACATTACACTTTGTATGCTGTTGGGAACAAAGGGAATTTAAAAACACCTTCACAACAAGGTCAGGGGCTTCTTTGAAACACACAGAGAGAGAGGGGGCAAAACAACAATAAAATATGATAGCTGGGCCGGGCTCATCTTTTTCTAAAAAGCCTGGATCATTTTACAGCTAAAAAACGCACAATAGTGGCTGACGACAGCTATCCAGGGAGGAGGAACTAACCTAGAAACCTGTGTTTCTCAAACTTGGTGGGAAAATCCTGGCAAGAAATGTGTATCACTACCTTCAGCTGATCGCTCACTATAACAACACTTCAAACTGCCCTTGAGCAAGGCACCTGCTGCACCTGCTTTGCTCTGTAACACCAGCATAAGTGTGTGTGTGTGTGTTTGTAGCAGGTCAAGTATGAGAACAACATAAAACGCCCTCTCGGCCAAATAATCCTGCATTAGTAAATGTTAAAATAAAGGCAATTAGACATAACTGCTTAAAAGGATAAGCTTGTCTTTTCCTAAACAGCGATGACAAGTAGGTGAAGTATCAGCCTGGAGCGCCCTCTTATTAAAACAAATCATATTTCTTTCAGTAACACGCAGGGATCATCAGGCTGTTTTGTGATGAATTAAAACAATTATTGTCAACAGTTTCCCTGAAGGATGTGTTCTTCCGTTGTAGAAAAAAGGCTGCATTGTAGAAGGAGGGAAAAACTGCCTTTGTGTTTTTTTGCATCTTATTTTTGGAAGCCGTTTGCCTGTGAGGAGACTAGCTGTCTCTGTCATCATTAAAACATGAGTCACAGCGCTGCTTCAGGTGTGGATGAAGGAGAACTGAGACCTACAGCTTTTTATAGGAGATAGGTTTATTTGGGTTGTTGCCTAATGATTTCCTCAAGGATTTCCATTTTTTAAGTGGATTGAATGTATTTGAGATGTTACTGAAAAATAATTTCAAACAATAGGAGCGTTGTTTCTTCAGACACTATCCTATATCATAGTGTGCCCCCTACCCATGGGCGTCACAGCCATTATATGAGGGTGGGACAAGTCCCCCCCACCTTTTTAAAATGATTAGTTTAGACCCCCCCACTTTTACTATGCGGAAAGTCCGTGAATCGGTCTATCCACTCGCCACTCTCTGTAGAGCGCTGTGTCAGTGCTTCATTATCAAATCCATTCCACTTGCTTATTGAGAGAATGCCCAAATCAATAAAATTCCGTACCATGTTTTCACTGCTACTTTGTACCAAGGCAGATTCTCAGAGCCGTACACATGAGCCGTACACATGCTGCGTTTTTTGTGTAGCTGTGTCTTTAGTTGTAAAATGATGCGCGCCACAGTTTCCCTGCCCTTAGAGGAGGTGAGGTCCACCACCTGCCCACACCGCCTGTCAAATTGTCCCTCCCACATTGAGGATGCTTCCTACGCCCATGCCCCTACCAGTGTATAGCCAGCCAAGTTAATGAGGAATTGTTGGTCGTACTTATACTTTATGTATAATAAATTATGTTTATTCATTAAGAAAATAACTTGACATTTTAAGGTTGACAAATGTCCCTTTTATAATCATGTATACAAGTCAAGTATTCCCTTTATTGAATGTCGTCATGTTAGTTCTGGGTTGCATGGGAAAGTAAATGGTCAGATGGTTTATCAAAGACCCCACATTATGGGCTTCATCATCCAAGAACCATGTCTCACAAAAAGCAAACCTAAGATTAATTCTTTTTTTTAAAGGCATCTGAATTTTAAGATATTTTTTGCTAAGATACAATTTTAACTTTTAGCATTTCAAAAGTCAAAACAGGCCAAATACAAGGACTTTAACATCCAGCATCCCAGAATCCTGTAGGAAAGATTCCTTGTGATTTCTTCTGAGACCCGGAAAGCAGAATATCAACAGGATCCTAACGTGATGTCAAGAGAGGAATAAATACCAAAGCTTGTCATCCTGTCAGACTTGCCCCTGCCTAAACCAAAGAGGGAAGAAGGATAGATGCGATTGGCTGCGGACCCGCAGCGATTGGCTGCTTCCTGAAACTTTCTTGTCATAGATGAAAACAAAGAATCTAGTATTTGTTCCTGTTTCTGGAAAAGTCTCAAAACACACCCCGAATAAAAAAAATACACCAGAAATTGGGTTGTAAAATAAACACACAAACTTTGGACTATTGACCAAAGCAGAGTCGTTCATTTTCAAGATACTTATCCGCAAGACTGATTGATTTTAGTGACCCTAGTGTTTCTTATACACTGTGTTAGTATAGATATAGTATATACTGCAGTAATGGATATAGAAAAACAACCAAAGGTCTCTTCATGTGTTTTCTCTTTGTTGTTGCAGATCTTCTTGTCAAGCTAGCAAAGGAAAAGTTTGGCGCCATTCAGACGGAATACCAAAAGGTAACCTTGTGTGTGTTAAACTTCAAGTTGTTTTTCTTTTGCTTTCCCTTTGCCTTATTGCATTATGTTTTTCTGATTGGAAGCTGCAATTCACGATAAAACTACAGAAGAAATGTACCTCTGAGATACTCTGTAGTCTCAGGCTTTAATAGCTTTTAGAAGCCAAGGCAAGGCCATTTCTTTCACTGCCACATCTGAAAAAAATGGTAATTGCTTCTGGTCCAACCTGTGAATTTAGAGTGACATCATTAGGAACAACTTTGATAGTCCCTGAGATCAAAAGGCTACCTTCCTCTCAATAACGGGATGATTTGCTGTCTTTGTGCAGCGTTACGATAAGCAACTACTATGTGAATATGCATGCCAGTTTTCAATCATTTGATTTGTCTTTGTTGTTCTATTTCATCCACATGTTTTTGTTTGGTGGCTTGGCTCTTTCTTTGACGCTGCGTTGCCTTTGTCTTCTGCATGCCCTCTTCATCTGATCTGCTCTGCTCTGGCCTCCCTCAGCCAGAGAACATAGTGCTGACTCTTCAGGTAAAGTCTGCACACTGGTCTTATAGTGAAACCCATCCCCTTCCTCACCATGCTCCACTGTCCAGAGTCACCAGGGCTGCACAACTCCAGATACAAAATGATAAACTATATGTTGCATTCTTTTTGAGATTTTACAACACTTTCATTTATTTCATCATTTTATCATTTCAATATATTTGGGATCAGTTGTGCAGCCCTAAGACTCTCACCCAGCCCCCCTATCCACCTTATCGACATTTAGTTAGCTATGCTAATCTGTAGCTTGTGTCTCATTTGAGTTCTGGTTTAGATCAGCTTCATAGGAGCAACAATGTGACATTTATTTGACAAATGACATGTGTAACACCAATGTCATGGTCTGCAACTCCCCTGGGTTATGATAATTGTTAAATATTTCCCTTTATTTCCAAACTTGGTTGCTGAGCGTGTATCAAAAACCAGCATATTACCGTCAACCTAAAGGAAAAATAGCAATATGGGTTTGGCAATTTATCCTTAAATATCTCTACCTTTTTGACTGCATTAGTGTCAAAATGAACTTGTCAGCCTTATGATAAAGCAGATATGTTAAATGTGTTATGAACTATTAAAGAAACATACATGTTCATACAGAATAGCTTGAAATCTGCTGGTCAGCCGTCTAATTTGCGTCCATGCAGTATTTTCTCTAATATCCACGCAAGTATGAGAAACACACATGAACACACACACACACACACACACACACACACACACACACACACACACACACACACACACACACACACACGCACACTTGATATTTTGCTTGCCGATGTTGACAGAACTCTTTGCAGTATTATACATCTCCATACTGACCTTGACCCAGGGTTCTTACGGTCATTACAAACCTGGAAAAGTCATGGAAATTCAAAATGCTAATTCCAGGCCCTGGAAAACAATATTTTTCCCAAAGTTTTGGAAAGTCGTGGAAATGTAACTAAAGTTGCATCAAATATAATTTATATTTTATCTAATCGCCGAAATAGTAATACTATAATGATAATAAATACTGTATCGTATAGTAATGAAACGTAAAATGGAATTTAACTGTCGAGGTGTTTTGCTGGTGAGAGATTTTAGTTGCTTTAGCGTGTAGAAGCTAGTAAGCCTATTTTATTTGTTTTAGATAGGCACAACAGGTTTCATATGCAGACCTTATTTTCCTGTTCCATTTTCAAATAAACCATTTTCAGTGGTACCGCTGAGAAAGAGTCATGTTTTGGTCATTGAAAATTAGGTAACGGTCATTGAAAAATCATTGGAAATCATTGGTGAAAAAGTGTATGAACCCTGTTGAACCAACTGACTCACAGTTTGCAATGAAGCCACAGAAATAACCAAAACAAAGCCATACATATCCAATCGCCTCCGTACAGCTTTTATTAGGGGGAATCTTTTTTTCTAGTGCTTCCGGAAATGTTGTAGTTACAATATCAATACTTAAAAACTACCAACCGATGTTTACAAACTGCAGAATTGTGACAATCAATTTGCTTCAATACAAAACTTGAATTGGCAGATCTCGATTCTGTAGTGAAACTTTTTAAATGAACTAAATTCACGCCTGTGGCTGTTTTCTAAAGACTGTAATTCCAGAGCCAAACTGACAACAAAGGTAAAAAAAAAGGATGGTCCAAGTATGATCTCAATAAATATCCCAAAAGCTTAGTCCATTGTCATTAATAAAGTAACTGCAACCTTGATTGTTTAGTAAGAATTAGCCTTGACCATCCTCTTTATGTCACATAAAGGCATCACAGAGCAATCAGGCTTAAAAAGACGATTTCTAACCATAATTAGAGCAGGCAATTTCCCTGATTGTGTAACGCAAGTTAATCAGTGAAATGTGGGTGTAATCTTGGTTTAAATAAAAGCCTCCTAACAGTGGGTTTAAACAGTCCAGCTGTGATCAAAGGCCTGCTGCTGTTCTTCACTACTTAGAAAATCATAAATATGTCATGTTCCTCTTGTAGCTCCTGAGTGGCATCCAGTCCAATTTATCAAGCACCAAGATCTGAGCCACCATTATGAATCAAAACAGGAAGCACTACATGTACAAAGAACTGTGATGTTAATTCATTCACAGTGGATTCTGCAGCATTTATCTGGCAGTCAGTGAGCAGTTTAGGGTAACAACATATTGCTCAAGGACACTTCAGCAGGACTTGAGGGTGCTGCTTTGATTTACATCTGATTCAAATTTGAGAATTGCCTGTCCTCACCACTCATGATGATGCCACCTCATCCTCCAGTTTGCTCGTATTTTAAGGTCACCTTCTGCTTTTGGGCAATTGCCAAGACAAAGCTATGGTCCAAAAATAGTCAGAGCTGCAAGCCCTGAAAGAGTGGCGGTGGAAAAAACAACCTTTCTTTTGTGAAAATACACCCAATAACAAGCAAGGCCCAGAAGCAGAATAACAAGGCAAGCGTTCATATTTGCAAAATGTCCTAAAAACGGGTTTGACATTTGTGCTTTTAGATGGAGGGAAACTCGGGTTCCCTCATTGTCTCTCTGTTTCCAGTGACCCTAAAGTCATGTATGATTTCATTCCTTAAGGTCATAAAGAGTGTGACTGATAGTGTTTCTCCTCCTACATCTCGTAAACTCTGTTTTGAACACAGCCAGGAGCCTCACTCAGCCAAACAAGCGTTTAGAGGCTGGATTATGCTAACCGGCTGAGACTTCCAAGTTTGCACAGAGATTTAAGGAATGAACCAGAGAAGAATAGTCTTCTCTGCCGAGTTCAGAAGCCATTTATTTTCTCCCTTCATGTTAAAAAAGTAAAAAAGCCGCAGGGTCATTGACTTATGAAGGCGATTAAGATTAGTGTGAATCAGCCGGGGGAGCAGTTCGTCCATTCAGGAGCGATGATAGCAGCCCCGCTTTGATCCTTTCATTACGAGAAGCTATTGAACATCATTGTGACAAGTTACATGCGGTGTGGGAATTGCCAATCCCCTATTCAATTTTGCCAATTTCCAAAGCTGTGCTGAGTGTGGTGGAGATAGGGGCAGATTAAGCAGGAGCACTGTGGTACATGACAAGAGGAGGTGAGGCTCTACTGAGGACCTGCCAACAGCAGCAATTCACCCTCTCAGTATATCAGGGGGAAGTTCAAAGAAGTCACTTTGAATATTTCTAATATTCAATCAAAGTCGAGGGATTTCTTAGACTTTGTGATGTGCTGACTATTCAGAGACAAACGCAATCATATAGGGCAAACTATAGAAATACAGAGTTATCATGTATGACAGGCCGATGACCCTAAGCTTACTTCTTTGTTACCAGGCTCAGTCCATGCATTTTAATCCCCGAAACGTACTAGCTCTCTGATCTTACTAAACTTCTACTAACCGTTTAACCCAAAAAACGGCTCCCTTATTCGTAACAACACTACAAATATCAACATTTCAAAAGTGCATGTGAACTTGTATAACATTGTTTTACAGGTAAGAACGGCATTTCTTGAATGACAACAAAACACTACACCTGACTTAAGCTAATGCAGGCTAATAAAACAGTAACATGATACATTTTAGTAGTCATTTTATGATGAAGTGTATTGTGTTAAACTCAGAAGGGTTTGATATCAGTGGGATGGAGTCATTGTTATACCCTCCATGAAGGCAGGGCCTAAGGCTTTTATATCAAACTGCATTAGTTACATCTGAGTGTACAACAGGAATTTATAAAAGGCTCCGTAATGCTTCGATTTAAGGCGTTAAATATGGAGGTTTTTAACAAACGATATGGTACGAAATGTTTATCTTGAAACAAGTGACTGAAATCGTCCAGGAGATGATTTCACCTGTGTTTTGCCATTTCTTAATATCCTCTATGGGAAATAAACTAGAGCTGGTAAAGTGAAAATGTGCCCCTTTTTTCCACGACTTCCTCAAATGAATTATTAAAAAACAGATGAACTGCAGTCTAACAGGTGCTGTACCAAATGGGCAGTTTTGTCATTTTAAGATGAAAGTAGAGCAGTACAGTAACTGCCTTAAAGTGTATTTCTATTGAAGCAGGTTTTTCATCAGAAATGCTGCCTTTCCCCTTTCATTAGAGTTGAAAAAACCGCAACATGAATGGCTCCTTTGAGTTTTTGTCCCCATCATCCTTCATGTGTCGCTATCCTCTCAGCGCTTATTGCAGCTTATTAGAAATGTATGTAAAAACCCTTTGGCTTACTATTGCTCTTAATCAGCTTGCAGCATGGTGTGTGTGAGGAAAGCATTGCCATACCATAATTTCAAGGAAGAGTCTTGTTTCATAATGTTTGAATTGGCTTGTAGTATTTGAGCACTATTAAAAAATGATTTTCTAGCAATGAGTAGTGTTACGTAATGTGTTTATTGTTTACCCACAAATCCCTTTTGGACAAAGGAGTACAGAGAGAGTTTCCAGCAGTGGGATGATCCGACCAGATATTTTTAGATTTCTAAATATCCTCTGCCTCCTTGTGTGTGTCCTCCCTTTATGCCTTTATTTTTAATCTATCCTTTCTTCTATCCCACCTCATTCCAATTCTGTTTTCCTCAACAATCCCCATTTTACACTCTTGTTATTTAATCTCCCTTTTTATCTTCCGCCTCTGATCCCCCTTTTCCTTTAATCTAATGTCCATGTCCACCACCTTTCTCCTATATATCCTTTAATGAATTCTCCTTTATTCTTCATCTCATTCCTCCCCTGCTGACCCCAGGCCATCTACTATGAGATCGGCTTCGTAGTCTGTGCGGCGCTCGGCCTGCTGTTCGCCGTTCTGGTTCCGATAATCGGCATCTTCTTCTGCATGTGCCGCTGCTGCGATAACTGCGGCGGCGAGATGCACCAACGCCAGAGGAAAAACGCAGACTGTCGACGAGGCCTGCTGGGAACTCTGCTCTTCTCCACCTCACTGGTCATCACGTGAGTACGACACATATATGTACACATGAACTGGAGTTAAAAGCAAGCTACACTTCCATCTTTTATAGTGTGGTGTTAATGCACACATTCAGGCCGAAACACTCAGTGCACACATTCACCTCTGGTCATGTTGTGAGTGACTTTCACACACAAACACACACGGTCATCAGCTTTCCCCATCCCCCACAATCTCACTACTTACAGTATATCAGCATTTCAAAAGTGCATTTTATAACGTTGCTTTACAGGTAAGAACGGCATTTCTTCAACAACAACAAAACACTACACCTAGCTTACTAATACAACAGTAACATGATCAATTGTAGTAGTAATTGTATGATGAACTGCATTGTGTTATACTCTTTTGATAGCAATGGGATGGAGTCATTGTTATAACCTCCATGAAGGCAGGACCTAAGGCTTTTATATCAAACTGCATTAGTTACATCTGAGTGTACAACAGGAACTCTTGCTTTCTAAAAGGCTCCGTAACGCTTCAATTTAAGGCGTTAAATATGGAGGTTTTTAACAAACGATATGGTTCGAAATTTCAATCTTGAAACAAGTGACAGAAATCTTCCAAGAGATGATTTCACCTGTGTTTTGCGATTTGTTAATATCCTCTACAGCAGTGCTTCTCAAAGTGTGGTCCGCGGACCACTGGTGGTCCGTAAGCGCCCCCTCGTGGTCCGTGAGTATATTGGTAACATTTAACATTTTAAATAAATAAATACATTTAAGTTTTCCGCACTCTCGTGGGAATATCTCCGCAATGGAGCGCGCTAAAGTTTCATTTTCGATTGCATGATATAGCCCAGTACAACACCTTCATCACACTTGCGGCCACTTGTTTGTACCATTTTCAGGCGATTTGTAATCTGTTCTAGAGAAACGATGCGATTTTGGATATTTGTGGAGTTAGGTGGTCCACGAGTGTTTTTTTATTGGTTAAGTGGTCCTTGGTGTGAAAAAGTTTGAGAAACACTGCTCTACGGGAAGTAAACTGGAACTGTTAAAGTGAAAACTAAACACTACACCTGGCTTAAGTTAATGCAGGCTAATAAAACCGTAACATGATCAATTGTAGTAGTAATATTTTCTGTGTGTTTGTACAAATAGAGTTAAATGCAAGCTACACTTCCATCTTTTATAGTGCGGTGTTAATGCACACATTCAGGCCGAAACACACAGTGCACACATTCCCCTCTGGTCATCTTGTGAGTGAGTTTCACACACAAACACACACAGTCATCAGCTTTCCCCATCCCCCATGCTGTTTGCTATATATAGTAAAGTCCTACTGTAGACACTCTGTGGCAGCACCCTTCATGCTTGTGTTCATTCGGCACTGGTCACTATAATCTGCAGAGGGTTCATGTTGAATGAATGAGAAACAAAACCCTTCCCCACGATACAGAAGTTAATCACAGTTATTTTATATAACAAAGTATTTTATGTTTCAATTGGCTGTCCCCTCTACACCTTAATATTCTCCTTTGCTTTCTTGTATAATAATTGAAGGACCTACTGCTTCTGCCGTAAGGGTTTATTATATTACTGCTACAGCTGTCATTAAATATGCACATTTTAAGCAATTGGCTGATACTTTATCCAGAGGGGAATGCAGTGAATCTAGCACAGCGATTATTGCACACATTGCCAAAATGTCAAACTGTCGTAACAGTGGTGAATTTTTTTTATTTAGGGATTTAATAAATAGTACCTCAAACTATATTCTGGATGGACGCTCTTATACTGTAATAGACCTTTTGTTCTTACTTAAAACAGGTCAACTGCTTTTAAAAACATTAACCCTGTATCGAAATGATTGCCAAATCTTGTGAAACTTTTCTCCAGACTCGTTTCATTAAATCAAAGTTCTCTGCCGACCAAAACTGAACATTAAAAAGCCGCAACAGATCATGAGTATTTCTTAATCCACCTGTACTTCTTGTTGTAAGTATGCTTTCTCTACAGAATTGTTGAAGCAAGAGAAAAACAATCCTTTCTTTACTTCATTAGTATCACTCAGACAAATTACTCAAGAAATGATAACAGCAAATACTGTCTCAGTGCTCATATGGGAACATTCCTATATTGTTAATGAAGGGGTGGAAACTAAAGTAAGTAATGATATACCAGCTCAAGTTGCACAAGATAAGGGAAATGTGTAAGGGAGTGGGCTGAAAATGTTTGAGTTTTAACTTCATCAGTAAGTACAAAACTGTACATTAAAACAGATAATGTTCAGATGAGCCAGACATACGTATTTTTTAATCCACATTTCTGTCTAAAATGATGTGTATATTTTAAAGTGTAAGTCTTTTTTTGCACTAGAAAAGTCCCTCTTATTGTAAGTATGCCTTCACTGAAGTATTTTTTAAGCAAAAGAAAAACAATACTTTCGAAGATCTCATGACCTAAAAATAACTCATTACATGGAGATTTCTTAATCTAATCTAATATAAACTCAAGAAATGATAACAGCAAGCAAAACCTGTTTCAGTGCTCATATGTCATATGGGAACATTCCTATCATTGTTTAATGAAGTGGTGGAAACTTCTAAAGTACGTCATGATATGCCAGCTTGAACTGCTGGAAATGTATAAGGGGGTTGGCTGAACACGTTTTTTTAACTTTTTCTATACAAGCCTATAATCTGGCTGTCAGTGAAACTCATCTCTCAGAAAATAATCTGTTTCATTGTCTCTGCGGTAGAAGAGGCATTACCCACGGGGGTCCACAGAACAAAAGGTCGGGGAGCGCTGCGTGAGGACTGCAGGGATCCAGGAGTGTACTTAGTTTGATGTTCTTTGACTTTTTGTCTTCCTTGGAACGGAACCAGGCTATTAGAAATTCCAGGGCAATATCTTAGAAGCCGAGACGTGAGAGTCTGAGAGCATCCTCAGAGCATCCTCAGAGCTCTTATTAAATCTCCCCAGCTACCAGGCAGAGAGGCTGCAGAGGCTCTAATGAAGCAATTACAGGCAGAGGAGAGGGATGAGCACCGAGCTGCAGGGTCAGACTGCTTTTTACCGCCGCTAGAAAGCTGACAGCGAGGCACTGAGGAGTGGCGGGGGTGATATTGATTTTTCAAGAACTGTTAAAATCAGATTAGGAGGAGTTAAAGACACCCACATAAAGGTGAGGACAATGAAGTGGCTGAGGAGGAGATAGGAGAGTAAAAGTGCCGAAAACACAAGGATGTTTACCAGACCTGGACACTGTGGTAGTTCATACTGTTCAGTACAGCTGTCAACAATAAGTATAGATCTTATGAAGGACAGGATGTTCATTTATGAAAAATTACGCAAGTGAAGAAAAGTTAATTTTAAGTGAGCTACCCAGTACACACTCTGCCAATCTATTTGATATAAAACAAACCCCAGAACAAATCTCTTTAGGTGCATTTTGGACATTCTGTAGTCATGCTTTATGAATTTGATAGTGTAATTTGTGATATTGAGCTTCATAAATAACATTTGATTGATTGATTGATAAAACATACATTTTTGTATGCGACATGATTGCAGTGAATACATTTTTGAATACATCCAAGTAACAGAGTTGCATCTAAACCAGACCCATTTACAATAATAACATAACACTAAATATGTTGTGGGTATCTTTGAGTATTTGGAAAGTACTTCAACTGTTTTCCAAATACTTATATAAGGCTTATATCATATTTTATATGGGGTTTATGACAGAATCAGGGCATGAGATGATAAGAGAAAAACACTCTTGAATGACCCTTTACTCCGATGGTGGTAGGGTCAAACCCCAGAGGAAGTGCGAAAAAGTCGTAGTTTAAAACGTGAATAAGTAATGTTCACTGGGTCAGAGCGGTAGCTGTAGGGATTTGATTCACACGGATGCAAGTCATGCTGAAAATGCACACAGTCCTGCACAACTGCTATGGCTGTTAAACGTCTTAGTAAAAAAAAAAAGGCCTGTTTTCAAACACACAACAGATGTGAAGTTCAGGAGATAATTTGGTATTGCAGAGGGAATGGTTAATCCTTTAATTACTATGCCATGTTATAACATCAAAGCTGTATGCCAAACAAATGTGAAACATGTAGTAGGAAACTCAAAGTGACGTGTGTTAGCATCACAGATGACATCCCACCCACGAACTGCCATTTGGAAACAAGTTTAGAGTGAAGTGAATTGGAATTGTTATAATGATATCAGCAATGATGCAGCAGTAATGGATGCAGGCTTGTCATGGTTATGTCTGGTGAATCCAGCAGTAGTGAACCTAAATAACCCAACTTTTCCAAAACATTGGGCATATAAGTGAACATCAGCATTCATATGAATGAATGTGGACTCCTCTTAAGTAGCTTAAAGGTTTTATTCCACACTGTCTGACAGTATATCTTTCGACCGGCGTGTTGCAGTTGTTCATTTCATGGCTGCCCTTTTCCATTAAATGGGGAATTCTATGTCTTGTGCATCAATAACACACATTTATATACATTTGATTAAAAGTAACCTTGATATATGTATTGTCTTTGGAGAAAATTGATGTCCATAGGGTTGAACAATGCTTGTTTGCAATGAAATCCAAGTATAACTTTATATAATCTACAACCCTCTCACCTGCAAAGCTACATTCCCATAAAACTGCAGTTTCATTTCAATAAAACTAAACTGCAGTTTCATTGCATACAGATATATTTTGTCCCAGATTATGTTCCCAGACTAAAACATGTGGTTGACGTTAACTCAACAAAACTACCTGGTTAGGTTCTGTATAAAATCATTGTTTGGCTTAAAATAAGTATGTTTTTTGCTAAAGCCCGCGTCACACTGTCCCGAAATTGACACCATATGGATACACGATAAAGGAAATGTTCATATTCGGCTCTGATCGTAGCAACACCGGGCCATTCGTGAGGGCATCTTAACCATCGTATGACCGCCGGTGGAGTTTCTCAGGCTCCGGCAGCAACTTCGTGAGCGGTGGCAAAATCTTTGGCATGCCAAACAA